CCATTGCCAATATTTACAATCAAAGTTCCAAGGCGTATCGTCCTACAACGTTTCGCATGTTAGCTAACTGATCGACGTATTGTAAATCGATCCCTTCGGTCTAATTATTTTTAACGGGAAAAAGGGAAGTATTTGAATCTAGATTTTCTCTTACAAATAAGGACCTTCATTCCAACTTTTCTCTCTAAAATGTTGTGTCGTCATTGACAAATAATATACCACACACAGCATTTAATTGAAAGATTGTGCCTTTAATAAAACAAATATAAATATGATGTGCGCATATAGAAGATCATGAGGGGGAAGGGTGCTCCATGCACATATTTGTTGGTATATGGGGTATACTGGAGAGGATTCTCGGCTAATCACAAGGTTCGCCCCCCCTCCCCTAGTAAATTGGTGTTGCTGACACTCTCGGAGAACCTGGTTCATGGAACCTGATCTTGTCCCTGCCTCTCGTGCGTGTCGTATTTGCGGAGCGCCTTCTGCTAGCAGAGCGTCCTTGCGCCTTCTGCGATTGGCGTCTGCGAGACGGGCCGCGCGGCGCCGAGGAGAGAGATAAAGCAAATTTGCGCTCGCGGCGCGTGGCGCTCCCGCGTTCATTCCGAGTAAACACTGGCGCCGCGCGTGAGTAAGGCCCTCGGCAAACGCCCTCACTCTCACTCGCTCACCGCTCCGGAGAGATGGTTGTGAGGAACGGGGGATTGAAAAGCGAAGAAGGCATTATGACGAGTGAGTGATGGATTGGGATCTGTTGTGATTTTCATTAATTATACCTACGCTTATGACAATTTCTAGAATGGAAAGTCATTTGATCGATACATGATTAAGATTTGAATAGTTATCGAAAGAGAAGATAGCACTCTGGCCTGAAACGAATCAGCTTCGTCCACGTTTAACTCCACATGGATCAGTAATGATTTGACCCCCCTTCTTAGAGGCGGAAACTAGCATTCAGACCACTACGCTACTGATCGCCTAAACTGTTGCGACAAGAGCAACTCGTTAGTTCCACCATTGGGACGACAGACGGACGTTAGTAGCGTAGAGGGGGTACCCCAAGGTTCGGTTTGCGTACCTGCAAGATGTCTTGGACGAGGTTTTCTTTTGAATAGCTCTGTTATCTTAGAATCTTACAATAATCAGAATCATAATGATTTCATTTGTAATCATAATCAATTTTTATTTATAAGATTGGTTTGTCCTTAAGACGAATAATTTTTTGAAAATGAAAAAGCTTTTCTTTGAACATATCTTCGCTTATGTTTGCGAATTATGAGATACAGTCACTTTCGTGTAATAATTATTTAAAGATCTAAATTATAGGAGCATTTGATTATGATAACTGTCAACAATGTGTATCATCTTAAAAAGTATTGAAGATAAAAATATGAAATGTTTTACTTACATACTTGTATGGGGGTGTAGTTATCTCCGGATAGAAAAAAAAACACATTTATTTCCGAATTCTTGATAAGTCACTCCAACAAACAATTCTTTCGATTGAATTTCCAACACAGGTCACCCCTGTACACGACCGAACACTTATCACATCTGAGACGGAAATAAACTATCTTTGTAACATGTATTTGCTCGCAGAGTGCACTTCTAACGTTCACGAATTTCAGTTACCAAATGGATCGATCATCTTCCGGGAGTTGGAGAAATTGAAACACCACACATATCAATATTTATATTAAAAAACCTCTTTCTCAGATGACTTTTTAACAATCGATGGTTGAGAAAAATTAAGTGTCCCTTATATTTCTAGAGCTTCTGGACACTAATTTTAAAGCGGAGTCACACGCTTTGGAACGTCGTAGATAGAGTGGTAGAGTTCAAATTGTGAAGACTGTCGTGCCACGCCAACGACACATCCCGGGTGCGAAAAAGAAAGATGAGTACTTCTGACATCGTCGGCAAGAGGTAAGAACTTGTGGCAATGAAAGATTTCTTATGCAAACATTAAGGCTACGAAACAACTCAACTGGGAAATGGGAACTACTGGTTAATTGAGTAGATGGAACTTATTGATGGGATAATTAGGACGATGAAATGATGGTGAAGGCTAAGGTATCGAGTCCGGTGATGTAGGATGGCAGCAATGACCACGCAGAAGACACACCTAGGACATGGAGAAATGTCAGTGCATATCTATCCTTTCTCAATGGCTAGGGTATACTGGACGCGGCAGCGGTGGGCACCAGGCAACGAAGACCCAATGATGTGGCCACGGTCGAGCGGTGCGGAGCGCCATCGAGAGCGGGCGTCGCGGCTGGGCGGGGCGGGGGCATCGGCGGCGGCCGTGGCTCGTGCGGAGTAACGGGACGCCGCTCCGCTCCGCTCCGCTCCGCTCTGCTCCGCTCTGCCCCGCTGCGCGCGGCGCTCGGGTTCTTTTCTTCCTCCAGCGCAGCGAGGTCCGCCTGCCGCGCACGTGCTGCGCCCGGCCTCCGCGCACCGGGGCGGGCGCCGGGCACCCGCGTAGCGGCTCCGCTTTTAGCCAGACAGCTCTCGCGGGGCACGCACTCTTCGTCTTGCGAAACGCGGGATTTCTGCTCTTCGGGATGAAACGTGCACTTCCGTCAACATTCGTTCAGAGTTTTGAGTTCAATTCGAGTTGCAAATTTTGAATCAGATCGTGTTGTCTCATTTGCGCCAGGAGGAGACATACTGAGCTTCCTAATGTGACACCATTAAAGCTTGCGTCAAACGCACGAAATCAAAGGCAAAACAAATATTCCGAAACTGAGTAGTAATCACCTAAGCTTCAACGATAAAAATATCTTCACATTTACTATAAAGCTACACCCATAACACACTGCATGTGAAGACTCCATTAGTTTTACGAAGTTCCAAATTTAAACATGCTAATTTCATTAAGAGATTTTCGTCGCTTGCTTTTAAACTTCGGACACTTCCTTTCCTTTCCAAAAATAAACGCCCTGTCAACTCCCCCGCAAACAGCCGCCAGCGCGGCGTCTGGAGCTGCCTGCGGAGTGTGCCAGTAATCACTTCGTTTCCCAAGCCGGCGCCGCTGTGTACTTCCGTATCGCGGACGCGAGGGAGCCGTGGGCAGGGGGCCTCCTTAAAATTCCTCGCTTGAAGACGCTGGAAGCTTCCCGCGTGATAAATCGCCGCCGCGTGCAGATGGCTGCGGCGGGTGCCGCCCAGCTCGTCGCGCGACAGCGACGTCGCGTCGGCGGCGGCCGACGGAGACACATTGCGACCGCGCTGACCAATAGGGAGCTTTTGCACGGCAATCGACTAGAATATCGATATCTGCGCGTGAGCAGATGCTCAAAATTGATGAGAAACTCAACCAGTGCATTCGCAGAAGATCGACATTGCTGTCGATTGTTATAATACTTCGCTGTACGAAAACTCTCTCGCAAAATGTAGGTAAGTCTTAACATTGATGTTCACAACACATTGCACCAAAACCATCGCAGTTTTTCAACGTCGATATTTTTTAAACATCATTAATAACCATTAATTTTTCAGGAGGGAGGAATTCGACGATGTTTATTAATTTTTGTCTGAGATTTAACTTACAAAATAAAGTCAAAAAATGATCAGAACAAATTAACAATCGTTTTGCATGATCAGAATGATTTTCTGTGAAAATTATATTTTAATATTTTCTTTCACTCTTGTTCACTTAAGTCTCCAGAATATCTAATTTATGTCTTCCTCAAAAATATTGCAATTTTTTATTACGATTGTACTTTTTCAATCAAAAACAAAATATCAACCACGTAAAAACAACGGACACTACATATAGATGTTATAAAACAATCGACTTACAACAATTGATGTTAAATCCGTCGACGATTATATAAAAACATCCGATGTTTTTAAAACGTCGATATAGACGCCGCATCCCCAAATTAGACAAAACCCGGATGACGAACCGCCGAAGTCCAACCGCCGGGAACCCCAAACCTCGGGAACGCGTTTGCTTACTTTTCAGAAAAGGTGCTCTCACTGTTCGACAGTAAATCTCGCGTATCTTGCACACTTCGTACAATCGGAGGAAAGAAAAAAAGCCCGAGCACATTTAAACGGGAGAAACAATTTTGCATTTATTATCATTTAGGATGAAGTACTTTCTAATGACAAACGGCACAAATCATTTTTTACTAGTAATTTAAATTTACTTTTTGTCTAGAATGCTAAGTCGTCATTTGTTCTCAACCCCAATTGATTTAAATAAATTCAGTTTTACTTAAGTGCACATGCAAAATATGAATATATTTAATCTCTTGTATTAATTGAAAAGTTATGTCATTGCAAATATTTATCCGCCTTAAAAACTTCATGGTTCCATGGATTCCATGGAAGCTCCTCTTACAAGCAGGTGTACTTACAGTACGTAACGTACCAAAGGAAAATAAAATGTTTCTTAGTGAGAAACATTGGCTAATTTTCTTCTAGATGTGAAAGCGTTTCAATAGTGATGCATAGACTTGTGGACCTCGCAATGTGCTTCATGTCACCTATGTCGTAATATACAATAAAGTACTGAACTCGTATTTACCCACAAAAGCAAATATGTTTTTCAAAGATTATTACGTTTGCAAATACCTCATGCGCGCAAATAGGGGATAAACGTCTCAGAGTTACATCTCCTCTAACGATAAGGAAGGTACATAAGAATACATTTTCCGTAGTCGCTTATCTGAAGTAAAACGTCCCGCAAATCTTTTGAAATGACAGAAAACAGAAGTATTCACCATGATACTAAAATTCCCCATATTAGAAATATTTTAAAATGATGAGAGGACTGAATTTTATATTAACCGAATATGCTAATGCAGATGTCGTGAAATTATCCGTTCCAAGCTATGCATGCGAATATTAGCGCACCAAACATTTTTTTCCATGTTCTTGTTTACGAAGTGAAGTACAGGCAAGTCATGTCTTGAGGAACTCGTCTATTCTGAAACCTCATCCAACAAACAGATACTGATAAAGTTCGATTAACTTAAATATTCACATACATTGTAACAAGTCCCACAGCCACAGTCACAAGTCTCAAGAGGCGCTTCGTCTCCCAAGGGCTCCTCTTCGTCGTGCGGGTACACGCACCGAAAACAGCTCGCGTATTCCATTCGACAGCGGCCCGCGCCGGGCCGCGGCGGCAGGGCTAGCCACGCGCACGCGGGCATGTCTGCGACTGCGGTCAAACCGCGCGCCACGCCGGACACCCTCCGCGGAAATGACCGACCGCGGCCGAGCGCTCCCGAGGAGCGGCGACGGTGGCGGGAGGGTGCGCTCTCCGCGCCAGACTGCGACGAAGCGAGCGCACGGAGCGAGCGAGCGCGAGCTCTCGGGGCGCGACGCGGCAACAGTGCAGCGGGCGGCGCTGCCGCTTTTTCATCTTCTCTCTCTCCGGGCGCCAGGCCGGCCTCCCCTCTGCCGCCGCCGCCGCGCCCCCCACCACCACGGCCGCTCGCGCGCGCTTGTCGTCATAACAATCTGGTGACGTCACCGTGGGCCACCCAAGGAGCAGCGCGGGGCTGTTTCGTCACAGTGTCGCCGCCGCCCGCCCCCTTTCCACCGCGTCCTCCCCGCCCCGCCCCACACCACCCGGCGCTGCGAGAGACCGGTCCATTATCTGCAGCACAATAAAAGGAAGTAATAAAATAATACTGCTCACTAGGAGTCGCGGTCCTCTTTTTTTTTCACCGTTAAGGAATTTATCTTTTTACATTGCCTGCATGCGTAATCTACCCTTTGTTATGCGCGATTCTTCCGCTGGTAGTCATAGGTGTTCACTAGTACGAGTGCAGAATGAGGAAAGGAAGGGACCTCGTAGATATAATAATGATGCAGGGATTTTTGTACTTTGTGTTACGTTGTTAGTCAACAATGTATGAGCTGGACATTGTCGAATAAAATTGGACGTCACAAAGCAACTTGATTTTTACATACACAACTTACGCAATATATTATTTTATTATTTAAACCAAGGAATGAATGATAAAAAAAATCAAATTGTTGGGCATTCGTGGATAATATTGACTTAATTTGTGACCAGAAAGTAAATAAATTACAAGTATCTAAACAGACTAAATTAGAACAATAACAGACATTTCTGATTAATAAACTTAGAATAGGTTCTGTTAAGATCTGCTTGGAGAGAACAAAAAATTACAATGATTTTTAAAGGACATTCCGAAAGTCGATGCAGTTCGGATCTCAACTAAATCTACTTACAAAGGAAAACAACTTTTCCGTAAATATCGCCTTCATAATATAATATCAACCAAAGGGGGAGAAGAATATTCAATGTGATTGTATATTTTATAATTATTTCATTAACAGAAACTACGCTTTTTTCAAATTCAACTTAAAAAGGAATGAATAAAGGTGTTAGTTTCAAAGAAAAGCAATATTACTTACAAAAGACAATCATACACCGCATTAGTATCTGTTTATTTATTCACCACACTGAAGAATTTCAATATAAAGTTTGTGATTTTAAAATTTCTCCACGTACGACGGCATGAAGAGGCTGTATATGACCTACAGTCATTTTTCACTGTCCAGTTGAATATATTGGACCTAAAAAAGTACAAATAATTTCCATACTGTCAAAGAGATGAAGAATACGCTTAATTCTTCCAATAAAAAATACTCTTCCGGTGTGTTAAGCCAAATGATATTATGCCAGACACCGGTCTTGTCAAAATACAAAATGCCTCATGAACAAAATTTACCTTCACCGTGCTGTTCGGGCAAAAACAGGAGATACAAAAAAAAGTTGAGCTGACTTCTAAACAAACATTACCTGCGAAATTACCGTAAACTGGAGACGCGTCGTGGAGCGTAATCCTGTCTCGCGGAAGCGAATTCGACCTCATCATCTCCGTAATAAAAACACCCATCCATACACTTACAAACTCGGCTCGGAAACCTGACTTCCCCGGTAGAAAAGCGCTCGCCGCCACAGTGTATCAACATTGGAACGTGTATGAGTGCGTATGTATGGGCCGCTTATATAACTACCTGGTGCCGGTTAGAAATCTGCCGGCGCCTCATTGTTCCACGAAGTGCGAACAATGAAGTAGGTAGCAACAGGGACAGATTTACAACCGACACAAGCCACCCTCGCGAGCGCGGCTTGTTCGTGAATAGCCCGTGCGTGTAGCGTGCACCGCCGTTACCTCCGGAGTCCCTTGGCTTGCACCGGCCCGCGGCCGAAGACCCGAGGACGAACGATTTAATCGCCGCTGGTTCTGGGCCTGGCACGCTCCCTAGACGGAGGTTTTTGGGCCGGGCCCGTGCGATTTCTCTGACCAGCAGCGGAGGCCCTCTTTTATTTGTCTTCCGTCGAGCGCGGTGCATGCGCGTTTTCCGGGTGTTTTTCTCCTCTCTCCGGCGAGAGCCCGGAGGGTCTCCTGTTGTTCTTTCTTTCGATGACATTTTTTATCTACGTATCTTTTCGACGCCATTCGCCTTTGACTACAAGGTGACCACCATCATTATCTTGTGTTGTCTAAGTGAATTGTTTTTTATATTAATGAAAGTACCTGATAAATTGTAGTTTTTTTAAGTAAATATAATTTAAGTATGCAACTGTACTGAACAGTTCTTGAGAAAATGATATTTCATATTTATGTTGGCAGTTCGAGTGAAGCATTGTTAACTCTTCCGCTTTTACCCGATGAAAGATGCGTTTGAAATTTCTTCACTTTTGTGTATTCTGCGCCTCCAAATCTTCCGCAATTTGGGTTTACGTTCGCAATATTTTTTTATTCACACGCGAGCGCATCTGGTGGTTCGCACTCCGAAGTCAACACCCGTTCATTTTGCCCTTGATGTTTATTTGCGTTACGTTTTCAACAGTTCGCCCGCTCGCGGCTACGCTCGCTACGGTGGTTTAGTTCGGTTCAACTTCCGTCACTAGTTCTCCAGGCTCTCTTCCCTCCTCCACTCACATTACCACCCACCGCGATGCTCAGGAACTAGCCCCTGCTCTTACGCTGCTAAAAAGCATGGTTGAACCCATACCTACAAAACTTCGACTCAGGAATATTAATAGCCCCCCTTTCAACCAGCCAAGACAGTCAATTCACACTTTGAGACCTGTTTTCATCTCGCACACCTCAAATCTGTTGCAATAATCTATTTTGTACACGTAGAAAAGAGATGTTAGTGAGTAATTATCAAACGAAGATCGCAAAATTTAGGAATGTATGGTTACAAAGTATTTTTTTGTTCGGATTTTCGGAGACATCAGCAGCCAGCAGCCAACGTCACTCTAACCGGGAGGAACAATGGACAACACAGCAGCGTTACTCAGGTTTTACCAATTACGTTAGAGAGGTAATGCAATCATATTCTAAGAATAGTTTTGGTTCATTGAATAAAAAGTGGAATGACGGAAAGACGCCGTGAGACATTCGGCGAGTGATGAGCGACTTGCACGCTGAACCCCCATCAGCCGAGGTACTCGCGAATATTCGCTTCCTTTGATGAACCACAAAAGACCGACATGCAGCGGGCATATAGGGCGAACGCGGGAAGATCGGCGCTCGGCGAGCAGCGAGCAAGTCGTCCTCACTAGCGAGCCGTCACGCGGTACGCGCCGACCGCCACTCGAGTGGCGCCGCCTGAATATAAACATTTCTTCCAGACCATTCCGGGCCCCGATTCCTTGGCGGAACCCACCCGCTCTCCCACCGGTTTACGAGGCGCCGTAAAGATGCGTGCGGAGAAAGGCTCCTGCGGGCGGTGGAGTAGTACACACCTCTGCGAGGAGCAGGGCGGTGGCGGCGCCGATTTCTCTCTCCGCTCGGGAGCACGCCTCGCCCCTCGAACAGCAGACTCGACTCCCCAGGAGAGAACCAAGAGGCAAGAGAGAAAGAGAGCGATTCGCTTTGTTCGGGGCAGGTGGCTGGTTTCCAGCATTCTAGGGCAGATGATCGAAGGCTCGTGTTTCGTTGAGAGAAAGATATGCGGAAATGGGATTTGGGGTTCCGCAAGACATCACGTTCCTTTTGCCTCAAAGTAACCGATTCAAATATTGAATGATGCTAGACAAATAATTCTGTATAATAATTGTAGTAGCAAAGGATTCATATAATTTTCCTGTGACCAGTGAATATATTGGTCTTGAAAAAGACTCCAATAAAACATCTGAACCGAAAGCTACATTGACAAATGGAACTTTCTAACTAGAATATAAAAAACACGATCAACTTTGTTATGGAAATACAGAATTATTTTATCTTTTGATGCAAATAGAAATCAAGAATGTAAATATATGCGGGGAAAAGATTAAAGTAGACTAGAATACTATAATCCAATTTGTAGAGCTTTAAATCTGAATTTACTTAAGTCTCAAGACTGCATCTCATTCCTGAAACAGTCATCGGAGAAAGCAATCCTGTTTGGGGGAGCACGAATTTAAAGTGGGGCAGTGGAAATGCACTCTGTTTCAGAACCTGCTCTTTATTCCAAACACTATAAACGGAATTTGGACGCCAAAATCAAGATATATTTTTTACGAAAACAAGATTACCACAAAGAGATCGCAAACAATACAAGGTGATTTTCAAATAACTTACTGTCCAATCAATGGAACTTTGGCATTTCACGTTAGTTAGAGAGGACGCGTCTCAAAGTAGGAATAATAGCTGTGGCATAATCGTTCCATAGGATCCAGGAAATACTGTATCCGAACAAGCTGTGATTTAGACGCAACGTTCGGCTTCTTGAGGGAACGTCAACAACAAAGGATTCCCCTCACAACAGCGTGTGGTTGCGTCTCTCCAGCCCTTTCATGGAATGCCCGTACACGAGTTAGGAATCCGTGGCCGCGCCTGCCCGGGGTGGCGCCGCGCCGCCGAGCTGGACGCGCCTCCCGACGCAGCCCGATCGCCATTAGTTGAGGGCTGCGTGCTTGCGTAGTCGAGGAGTCGAGAAGGAGCGCTTGCCTTGCGCGTGGAGGCGCCTCTCCCCGCCAGTGGGCCAACGCAGCTGGTCGCGCGATAGGGTAATCCGTAGCGTCGGCCCCGTTCGAGAGCCACGCCGTTTAGCCACCGCGCGCGCCGATTTATGAAGCACTGACGTCGAGATACGTAGTATCCCTCGCGCATTGTTAGGGTCGTTAACAGAAAATTTCGCTCCGCGGCCGCGTCCGGTTATGTGCGAATTACGAGCGAAGTGGTTTTCACTTCGCCTTTCGTGCTCGCTGGACCGGAACGTGAGGCGGGAGCATAAAAAAAAGGGAGGGGGCCCTCTTGATGTAGTATGCCGTAGCGCGGGCGCATTACAACCTGCCGGGCTGCTTGATGTATGTACGTAGTACTACGACGCGAGCCAAGAATTCGTCCGGAAGCGAGCGCACCGCCGCTGCCACGGGAATCCAAACCCGGCACGCACGAGACATAAAATGACGTAACGCCGACTGCGGTTTCGCTCCAGAAGACCGTCCGGAGGCGGAGCGGGCGGGGCGTGGCGGCGGGGGCGGTGGCGAAAGCCGGGCTGGCGTGTCGCGCGCAACGGTTCCGTTCAGGAAGGAACGGCCGCGGGGGGACCGCGAGGCGAGTGCGGGAGTGGAGCGGCGAAGTCGTTTGCTTGACGGGGGCTCCTGCTTCCTTCCGGTTTGAACTTGAAGGAGGCGTAGGCGGCTGTAGTGTTTCTCGCGGAAAGTGTGGCGGGAGGTCGCGATGGGGAAACCGTGGTGAGCGCGGAGGCGGTGGAGTGGTGGAAAGGCGGTGACTCCGATGACAGGAAAGGCGGCGCGCCTGCGCGGCGGAACTCCTTCACGAGAGATGAATGGCCCGGCGCGGGGCTGGGCGGTGCGCGAAGGCGCGCGCGCGTGACGAGAGCGTGGGCGCGGGCGGGAAAGAGGCGCGGCAAGGCGTGTTGGTGGCGGAGAAGGTCGCGGGAAAAGCAGCAGATAGGGCGGCTCGCCGGCGCGGCCTGTTCCGCCGCGTGCCAGTTTCTGCTGCCGCCTCCGCTCCGCCCGTGCCTCTCTTCTCCTCGGTCAGCGCTCCTTCCAACCGCGCCACGCGCCGCCGGCGCCGGCGCCTGTTCGTGGGTGGGCGCCAGCCGGCTTGTCCGCGCCGCGTCGCGTGCCGACCGCTGCCGCCGCTCCCTACTTCGAGAAACGCAGCGCGCCCCGCGGCGCCAACAATCGCCGGACGCTTGTCCGCTTTCGGGCTTTTGTTTGTGCGATGTGGCTTTGTTTACAGTTTACTTCGTTTTTGTTTGCTGTTCCATTTGGTATATTAAACAAACAAAAATGGTTTAAAAAAAACCAAAAAAATTAGGGAAAATAATTTTTACACTAAAAGATAAGCTATAGAAAACAGACTTATGACTGCGGAGCATTGGGACCAACACAAACAATAAAAATAGTACGCCTCTTCTCAGAACGAAATCCATCACCTCGTTATCGTTATTACTCACTCATACGCTTTATGGTCATTGTAATACTGGTGCGCTTTCTATATTTCCCTTTTTCGCATTCGCATTGGTTTTGATGCTCTGCTACACTATTTTGTGAATATTTTTAGATATTACTATTTCGTAATATGTAAAAGAATAACGCTTTTACGAGATCTCGTAGTAAAAAGTAAATGCTAGGATGAAAACATAAACAGAGAATCGTACCGGGAACACTTATTTGACCAATTGTTTCTAATCAATTAATTTTGTTTTGTTTTTCAACTTAAAAATATACAAGAGTGGGATACAAATATTGTGTAAACTTTTGTGTAGAGAAAATATACATTATCCACATCGCTGTAGAAATGAAATCTCACTACGAACTCCCGAATAAAAATTAAATCTGTAATTTCAAGCACTCGGCACGTTTCAAATGTTTTAAGATGTCCATCATAAGCTGTATTTTCACTATTAGAAAACCTATATGATAAAACGGTGATTTAGTATCATCAAATTATTTTAAACGCTATAATTATATAATCACCACTTAAATTCTATAAAACTTTTGAGCACAATTAGAAAAAAATAATTGCTACGCAACTGAGAATCATATGAGTTGAATTTACTCGCACGAACCGCTATCTCCTCCACTAAACGGCGAACATTCATTCCATTGAAAGACGCAATGTCTAAATCAATCAACCAGAGCGCGCGTTCATTCAGCGGGGAGGCCGGGCGCTTTCCGCGTGCGTCGGCACCAACGCGCACCCGCTCCACGCCCCGCCCCTGCCTTCGCCGCACCCGCCCGTCCGCACAGGCCTGGGGCGCGCTCCCGGGCCCCGTGCTCGCGCTCAACGTGCAGGGCCGCCCCCGCGCCACGTGTGGCACAGCGCGCGGCCCGCGCTCGCAACAATGCACGAGCGGGACGGCCCCATGTTGGCAAACCGCTGCCGCACGCATTGTTCTAGTGCGCCACTGGTTCTGCGAGGAGTTTTTCTGGAGCGGGACACGCTGCGGCAGGGCCGGGCGAAAAAGACATTTACGAGTTCGTTCCTGAGTAGTAATTGAAGAACAAAAAAATAGCGCACAAAAGAGAATTTTTGGTGAAAATAAAGGCCGTCGCACAGTGAAGGGGTGGTGCGGTTCGTCACACCATGGCAGCGCGATTGCGTACGAAACGGGGCGTTACATAACCTCATTAGCCAGGAATGCCCGGGCGCGCGCCGTGGGTGGTCCGCCGCGCGCGGCGGCGCGCGGCAGGTGGCAGGCCAGCGCGGCGCGGTCGGAATCGTGACGCCAACGGGGCCCTGCTCCCACGCCGCCACCGCGCGAGCGCTGCCGCGCACGAGGTCCGTCCGGCGCCAGAAGCGAGACGGCGCCGCTTTCAATGCACGCGCGCGGCGGAACTCCACCTTATCGAGCTGCGCCAGCCGCCAGCGCCGCGTCGCACCAGCTGTGTGCGCACCAAGCAGGTCGCGAGCGGCGGCGGTGGCGGCGCCCGCCCGCCCCCGCGCCCGGCGCCGCCGCGGCACGCGCCCCGAAGCGGCGGCGGCCCGCCCCGGCGCTAGACGCGCCGCGGCCGCCGCGGACGCGGGAGGCGTCGGCGGCGCGTCAGCGCGGCGTCGGCCGCCGGGCGGACGGCCGGCGACGGCCCCGCGGCTGCTGGGGCGCCGCTTGGCCGCCGGTCGCGGCCGCCGTCGGTGCCCGCCGCCGCCGCCGCCGCGGCCGTTTCGCCGTCGGCCGCCCGCCGCGCCCTTCTTCGGCAGAGCGGCCGCGTTGCTCTGCAGGCGCAGGAGGGAGGCTCCCGGTGGTCGTCTCCGACCGGCGGACTGCTCGAGCTGCGCCGCGGTTTTCGCGGCCACCATTTTGGCGAAGCGAGCACGCAATGGGGGCAACCCTGCTGCCTCCACATTTAGACGGCCGTTGGGTCGGGCCCTGCGGCGCAACCACAAGCCGGTCACCCCCCGATCTTCCCCGCCCCCGCTCCCTCACGCCCCGGTCACTCCCGCGGCACCCACGCCACACCACCCAGCACTCCACACTTGGCGCACAAAAACACTGCGACTGCCAAACACTCACAAAACCAACGGACCTGCGCTCCCGACCGCCGGCGCGCCGACCGCCCCCTCCTTTCATCCGGCCGGCCGGCGGCCGAGGGGCGCCCGAGCGAGCGCCGGAACGCGCCCGAAGGCCCCCGCGCCAGCCTCCCCGCCATTGGCTCGCGCCCCGGCCGCCGGACGCCGTCGCGCGTTGCTAGGCGACGGCCCGCGCGCCCCGCTCGGCCGCCGCTGGACCACACACGTGGCGGCGGAGAGAGGAGAAATCGTGCCCCGAGGCGTCACGGACTTAAAACCAAGCCAGTCACAAAAAAACGAGGGGCCCGGTGAGAGAGACGGCCCCGCCCGCCCGCCGCGGCGGCCCGCCGCCGCAGCCGCCCTGTTGCGCTCCCGTCCATTAAGCGCAGCAAATATGCCTGGCCTGCCCTCCCCCACCCCCACGCACCCACTGGCCCGCCGCCACCGCCCACCCGCCCGCCGGCCACACCCACCTCCACCGCGCGCGACCACCACCCGGTGGCCGAGGGGCCCAAGGGATTCGCCGGCCGCTTCACCCGGGTCATCCAGCGGGCTGCCGGGGCTCACCGTGTCACCGTCTCTCTTTTTCTCTCTCTCTGTCCTGCGGCTCTACCGACAAGTTCACTGCTATCACGATCAACTTTCACTTCTGTCATCATTTGAAACGAAAGAGCATTGAGTACCGAGAGACTTTAGATCCCCTAATAAACTTACCAACTCTCTTCACCTTTGCATCATGTAGAGCCAAATAACCTACTTCTAGCATCGTACCCTTATAAAGATGTAATTGTATGTAGGCTTTATTTTACGATTCTGTGTTTCTGACAGTAGGTGATAGCCTGTCTTTCTCTACCAGTTCCTCACATCAACCGTTAACCTTCCAGAGAACCACCGTAACAGCTAATTTTGGGAAATTAACTGCATTGTCATAAAAACAACATAAGCATCTTTGCAAGCATCGTACGCTCGTCAATTTTCTGCATTCAACTTCGCGCCAGCACATCGATGGTACTGGTACTATGCCGATACTGTGTTTGCCATACTATTGTGGCAACCAATTTGTCGTGCGATTATTATTTTTTACCAAGAACTGAAATAAATGTCTATGATGTTAACATGTTCTCTTAAAAAGAATAACATGAGGTGGTTGGTCATCCAAGATGATACAACACTTGGCATGAGCTGATCAATGAACCTTTGTAGGTTGTCCTAATGACGATTAAATTGTTTATTTTTCGATTGATTCATATTTCAGATCACAACGTCTTCGGTCGTTATTCATGTTGGTGTAGTGAATGATTTATATCGTGAGGTGGCGGTGCCCCTCCCCCCTTTTTTGGTGATATCCTGCGCCAACCTTCACTTCGGATTGTATGGGATTTTCCTTCACAGGTATCCCCCACAGGGGCTGACCAAGGGGCTTACCAAGAAGTGAAATAAATGTCTATGATGTTAACATGTTCTCTTAAAAAAATAACATGAGATGGTTGGTCAACCAAGATGATACAACACTTGGTATGAGCTTCTTATCAATAAAGACTTTGTAGGATGTCCGAAAGATTATTAAATTGTTTCATTTTCGATAAATTGATATTTCAGATCACAACTACTTTGGTCGTTATTCATGTTAGTGTAGTGAAAGCTTTTTATCGTGAGGTGGCAGTCCACCTCCCCCATGTTTGGTGATATACGGCGCCAACCATCACTTCGTATTGTAGTTTTCCCTTGCACAGGGACACCCCCTCCCCCAGCCAGGCAAGCTCTAAATTCCCGCCTGGTCTCCTGCCGTGTATTAGTATGGTGCATCGAAGTGTATGTATGTGAAAAAGGTGGAGGGTGCAAGAGAAGGGGAGATGCTGCCCCTGCGACCAGAGACGCCGCGAAGGAACAGCGGCAATGCTGGCTCGGAGCTACCTCGGCCGCTCTCCCGCGCACTTGCTGCCTCACGAGGCGCCTGGACCGCCAGTTCCGACTGCATTCCTGTGATACCATCTGCGCGCGCCGTGTACGGCAACGGCTATGCAAATTCCTCGTGTAGCCCTCACCCCCCTCCCCCCGCGTCCCGCCCAGCGCCGCCGCCGCGGCGCACGCGTGCGTGCCCGGCGCGTGCTCTGGCCGCGCCGCCGCCGCCGCTGCTGCTTGGAAGGCGCGCGTGCGAACCGGGACGTGCTCGGGAGTTCCCGACGAAGGGGACCTGTGCTTGCCGCTTTTTGGAGAACCACTTCTGCCTTTTCAATCGGAGTAAAAATTACTGTAGAAATGAATGATAATTTTCTTGTTCCACTTATGCTCTGGTTGGGGTAATACGCCTTTCTGACATAAAGAAAAGGATGCGTCAGAAGAGAGGGTATTTTCTTAATGGACAGGAATTGTAATTGCACACGGGGAAAATATATAAAACTATTTTAAATAGGAAATTATATGATGAAAACATAATTTACACAGTCTAACTACACTTTTCAAGTTTTATTAAACGATATTACTCCATTAAATACATTCTTATACTACTATAACTAAAATAGTTTGTTCTCATCATTTTTATCATTGATTAATTTTGTGTCCTGTCTTTTAATTTTTGTAGGAAGCGAGAAATAAGTAGTCGTACCTGTCCCCTAGCTACTCGTATGTGTTTGACTAAATTTGATACGCTCTGCAAAACTGGATATGCTTCCGGCTGATATTGAGATCGCTATTCACAAATTGGTGTAGGTAATTTTGGGGCCACGAAGTGGGGGAACGCTAATAACTTCATAATTGAGTCTTTCTCATGAACGTCGTTCAGAAGATGACTCGAAATTCGCAATAAATACAGAATGACAGATGCTCCATTCTTCATGCAACGGTTATCCTTCAGTGTTCGTGAGAATTCCAATTGAACCTAACTTCAATACTGAACATTTCATTCTGAAGACAACAAATTCTATGTAAAATGTGTTGTAATTCGTTGTACTGTCACATGAGCTGCCTTCATTCTAGAGGGGCTGAAGACAGATGTGCTCCAGTACAAGTCTTGTTTAAATGGAATATGGAACCCATCGACAAAACACAACGTTCTGAACAGATATTCAGAAACTTGGGAAGGAAGTCATTTCCGGGCGGAAAGCAAAAGGGGTATGCTTAGTTGGCGATTGACAGACTGTACTTGAACGTCACAAGGGCTGGATCGTCGCAATTCTCCAGGATTCATCCCCCCCCACACACACACACACACTGATCACTGTTAAAATACCTAAAGGCATAGTTTACGACCCTTTCCACCCTCTCCTCCTAATCATATCAAACGCATACTCATACAACACTTCCCACATTTGCCATTTAGTTTCTAATTCAATAATAAGGGCTACCTCATCTTTTCATTTGTAGAGAACGAGAGATCCCTTCACTAGTAACTGTAGGCCGTAGAACGTCTTCGTAGGACCCTGAGCTGGCAACAGCAGATGAAGGAATGGGGCAACACCGAAAATTTAGTCTAGACTAAATACCTCGAAAGTGGAACAACTATTACGAAATAGTCTGTTCCACTTTTAGCGCTACTAACAACAATATACTACCTAACCATTAAAACAAGGATTTTTCAAAATTCATTATCTGAAGATGTGAATGAAGGATTGAAGTACCCCCCCCCCCAAGTTTGCGTTACCGCAAACCGCAGTGCACCTAGGCATTGCGTTTTGATTTAATGCAAACCGCAATGCATCTAGGCATTGCGGAGAATTGGTTCGGGAAGAATGATATCGTGGCGGAAATGACATTGTGAGAGGAGGAAAGAGGGACTTGGTTGAAATGTGAGTAAAATCACTTCCATTTTTCCCAGTAGATAGATTTCATTTCTTTTCCTGTCCATTAAATTGCGATAAATATATACCAGGACTACTCTCAGGCTATTACCAGACTTAGTTCTATATGAATGAAATTGAATAAGACGTGACAGTTTCACTATATTTTGTCAGATACTTGCAGAAAATAAAATTTTCAGTTAATAAATTATAAGAGTGTGGCGTCTTTGCCGGGGATATAAATCACAGACGTGAACGGTTTGTAATTTATTGAGTATTTATTTGAAATATGCTCCAACACCTGAATACTATTTATTGAACCATAATTACAACGAATAATATTGACCCGTTGAAGGAATGTTCTTGGTCACCACCACCTAACCGTCGTCTCCCAAATCGCCGTCGCCTCCGCTTCCATCCTCATCCTCACCCTCGCCCACACCCTCACTTCCTTCCTCACCCTCGCCATGGCCATTACTTTCTCCCTCGCTTCCAATCTCGTCCTCACCTCTAATGGCGCACTCGCTTCCAACCTCGCTTCCCCACTCGCCTCCATACTCGCCCTTGCCTCCACACCCACCCTCGTCTCCAACATCACCCTCACCTCTAAACTCGCCCTTGCCTCCGCCGTCGACTTCCCTCTCACCGACCGTCACCCTTTCCATCAAGGACGCCCCCGCCACCACCCTTGCCTCCACCCTTGTGCTCGCCTCCACCCTCGCCCTTTCCTCCACCAACACCTTCGCCCTCACCTTCACCCTTGACTCCACCCTTACTCTCGTCTCCAAACTTGCCCTCGCCTCCACCTTCGCCCTCACCTCCACCCTCGCCCTCGTTTCAACCCTCGCCCTCGCTTCCACCGACGCTCTCACCTCCTTCCTCGCCCTCGTCTCCAACTTCGCGCTCACCACCAACCCCGCCTTCGCCTCCACCCTCTCCCCACCTCCACCCTCACCTTCTCCTGCGCTGCGTCGCGTCGCAGCGTGAGGAGGAAGAGGGGTCACTCACGCACAC